ACTGAGTTTTTGTAAGTGGTATAGTCAATGATAATGAAGTCTTGAATATAACCATTTGAGTGGGTCACTCAAGTGAAAGAAAAAACAAGATTCCCTGGAGGTAAAGATAGCAAAGAATAGGGAAGTAAAAATTTTGGATGGATCGCACAAGGATACTGAAAATCACTAAGAATGATTACAGGAATAGTGGGCAGAGGAAAGAGAGTAAACCAGGTGTTCAAACTCTCAGTGAGTAAGAATGACTGGGAGAGAGGCAGATGACTAGAAAAGGAGGGGAAGTAGATAACACAGTCTGATGACATCTACATTTTTTTAAAGAGAGATGAGGTACAGTCATCCATAAATATCAATGATAAGCAAGGAAGACATCAACTCCACTTGCTGGTCCTAAAGTGCACAAGGTGTGACAGATAAAAGTTCTACTTTTTGTGAAGCTGTAGGAAAAAACAGTATTCTCAGGGGAATGCCAATTTTCTATGAGAGAAAAAAGGCGAGATGAACCATCACAGAAGAGTTCAAGGACAAAGAAGATTTTGCTGATGACAAATTGGGAGTTCCAAATGGCAGAGTGAAAAGGTTTGGGAGGTTAGAGATATATAGGAGCTTAAAACAGACTGGAGATATGCCAGAGTCTCACAGGGAAAAGGAAATGAGTGAGAGTGATTTGGAAGGTCTGGACTTTGTGTGGTGATTAAGGTTAAAAGGGATGTAGGGTATAAAATTCATCCTGATGGTATGCTTGGGGGAGCTTGGTAAAAGGTAGATAAACCAGTAAAATTTAGCCTTCCTCTTGTGACTGGTCTAGCTCGCAGAAGGAAGAGTTGGGAGGGGAGGCGAGGTCAGGTAATTGGTGGTCTCACCAAGAATTTGAAGTGCTCTTTGGGTCCCTCTCTTATATCCTACAATCAGAGATGTTGAGATCTGTGGTTCTTAAAAAAAGTGTACGGCTTGCACTTACAGTTAACTTATTCAGTCAACACTATTTACTGAATGCTCGAATGAACTGTGTGCGCTACCACAGGTGCTGGAATTCCTAATTACCTATATTTGAATGTGCCCACTGACTATTACAGTTAAGCAATATAAAAAAGTAATAATATAGTAACAATAATAGATGCCAGGCACTGTTGTAAGTATGTTACATTTAATAAAATTATCTCGATGAGGTTGATACTATTATCTTCATTTTTTGGACAATATATTCAATGTATAGCTCTAAAAATTAAATTCTTTATAATCCAGAATGTACCTGTTTAGGACAAATAGTACTCTTTCTATAAAAATTAGCCTATATATTTTCCCACATGGTTATATGAACAGTGTTTTCCTATATTTTAATCTAGGACAGAGTTTTTCCTCTAAAAAGCAGATTATTCAACTCATGTGGCTAATATTCACTTTTACTAAAATTTTATTGTTCTACTTCAATTATGACAAGTCATCATGTCTGTTCCATTCACTCCTAGGAATAGAACTTTCATGTTTTCAGCTTAATTTGGCATGTCATTTGTTTGGCGGGGGGGAATCCTATTTGAGTATTTATAATGATCTACGTTAGGGATTTTCAAGTAGTCAAAAATACAGGAACAGTAGCTAAACACACATTGAAAGCGACCGATCACTTCATAGCTGTTCAAAGTTTACACGACCACTATTCTCATTAATAAACACTGATATCACCAAGTAGATAAAACTTTTTACCCAGAAGCTAATCAAGTAGCAAAGTGCAGAAGTACTGTGCTGGAGTTCTTTAAAACTCTGCTGAATATAAAAATTGGTCCTAGATGGGATCAGAGTTGAATGTGCTAAATAGGACAGGGCAGACTGGCATCAAGTAATTCTAAACGTAAGAAAAGAAGGAATGATGAGGAGAAGAACTGAGGAGGACTTGACAACATGTAGGCCATTTTTTCTGTATTATAATAACTATTCAAACCTAAGAATGTAAGCAGTATGAAGCCCAAAATAGAAAAACACACCAAAGTAAAATAATTCACAAGAAACTAATCTTAACATTTTAAAAAACAAAACAAACAAAAAAATCCCTACCGTAAACTTTTGGGATACAACCAAATGACAAAAATTAGAGACAGCCTGTATGCTATATGGTTATCATCAACGGGTGGGGATTCAAAGGGGTGAGGAAATCAGGTCCATGGGAGATATGTGTAGCTTGGAGAAAGTAAGAATGAAAGGGAAAAAAGCGAAGTGGAGGAAGAGACGGGCTGCTGTGAAGAACTAAAGGCACTTGTGAGAGAATAGAGTGGATCCAATAAATATAGCTACCCAAGAGGTTTCAGATTAGGTGTCATATTTTGGAAGGCCAGGAGCTAAGAAGGTTCCAAGTGACTGAAATGGAAATTAATCAAGTCCATAAACACTAATTGAGCACCAACTACATCCCAAGCCCTATCTTGGAAGCTAGGGGTCTTGCAGAAGTTTATAACCACTTTGCTTCCTTATCATTTAAAAAACATTAATGACTGCTAAATGCCAGATATTACAGTAGAACATGGCACATAATCTTAGTTATGAACATGAATACCTCCAACAGATAAGCAATTTAAATGAATCTGTAAAGTGAGTAAATTTTATTTTTATTTATACAGGATATTTGGAGGGATATTAAAGCAAAGTAATGACTTTCAAATTAACAAAACTTGATTTAATAACAGCTCTCCAAACTCCTAAAAGTATCATGCGGTATAGTTATAAAAAAATTAGATTCAAAGTTAGTCTTGCTATCAAATCTTAGAAAAGAATGTTATTCACAACAGTGAAAGCAGAGAGCTGGTAATCACTGTTGCTACTTACCAATTACAGAACAACACTACATCCACAGGTATAGATTAATGCTCAATACATTATGAATTTCATTAGTCTACTTTGTTTTTAACAATATACAAATCTTTTTGGTAGGACAAAATAAAACTGCCAGCCATGAGTCAGTAGATAAAACAGAAAAATGTATCCTAGCATCAAATAAGATCCAAGTATGTCTAATAGTCTTTCTCAGTCCTTTTATATTTTATCCTGTAAAATAAAATCTAGTGAGTTAAAACAAGAAACTTGGATATACAAAATACACAACTTATCAGTTAAAAAAATATATAGAAAAAAATGACATGTTGTTACTCCAGAGCAGGAGAAATAAAAGCTAAAATCTCTAACCTAATGTCTACATTTCTACAGATGAAATATAAAGGCAATGAAAAGGAAAAGGAAAGAGGTCTGAAGGAAATAAAAACTAAGTCATTTAGCAGTATACACAAATGATCTGAACCAAAAAGGAGGAAAATAAAATCTGAAATGGCTTTGTAGGGTCAACTGCAAATAGTTTTTGATAAAGTTCTGACTATTTTAGTGCAATACAATAGCAACTTTTTGCTCCAACTCTTAAGTAACTATAATGTAATTCTGTGGTTTCAATAGTTCTATATGTGAACTATTTTGCTTGCCTTTTCATTTGAAACCTTACTTAGAATTATATATCAATGTATGCATGTGTGTATATTTATATAAATATACTAGGGTGTATTTATATAAACTATAAGATTTTTAAAAGTTTTTAACCTATCTTTCTTATTAACAATGGAAAATACCATTTAAAATTAATCTACAGTGAATAACAGTGCCAAGCTGTAGTCTTTGCATCCCTTTTTGGGATATGTAATTGGAGTCAAAATTAAGTTAGATAAATTTTTGGGCCAGTATTCAATCTAAAGAGTTAAATCAATCGTTGCCTCTGAGTAAGTTTTGATTATAAGTAACCTCACTGCCTACATAAAAACAATTAATGACTCTCCCTAGCCCAGTAATTCCATTTTTCTCAAACATGTAATAAAAATAAGTAGAATTTCTTATGTAAGAAATTTGAAATTATTTTAAAATCAAAGCTATTAAAAGACAATTCTGGAAACCAAAAATAAGAAGCTGTCAACAGTCAGTTTATACTTACTGTGCTGCTCCTGATCATTAAAAAAAGGATGGGTTTTAAAGGAATTTATTTTAAAAAGGCCCTAAGGTGTGTGTATATTTTGCTAACTTAAATATTATTGACGTCAAAGGACAAAAGCATTCTCACCTTGTTTTTAAATTACACTATTTCCTATTCTTTCATTTTTACTAAAGTTGAATGAGTATCTATTTAAAATGTTTTAAAATAGGAATATTCCCCCAATCCTTCTTTAACACCAAATAATAGGTATTTCACTCAAATTATTATTAATTTCATATTTTTCCTCCTATTTTCAATACTCATTTCTTCAAAAAGAAATGGTTTTATGTGATTTTTTTTAATTTGTAAGATTTTCAGTGTTTGCTCATCTCTTTAAACTGTCAATTGAATATTTGAAAAATATTCCTACAATCGTGTAATTACTCAAGTTTACTGCTTTCAAATTAACCCTAGATAACATATATTTATAGAAATCGAAGGATTCATTAAATTCCTTGAATAAACTATAATTTAATGTAACTTTAAGATATAAGTATACACAACAGCCAACTGTATTCAATTTAATCTATTCTCAAAACACTAGAAAATAAAAATATTTAAAATTATCTTCTGTTTTTTTATTCTAACAACCTCCCTAAGGTTCTCTATTGACATACAAAAGCTAAACAAACAGGTATTTTATTTGGTCAGACATCATATTTTATAGCATTTAACACAGTCTAAAAACAAGGAGACACAGCATTATTAATTTACATTTTAATTTATGTATCAGTGGCTTAAATATTTTCAGAGAAGTCATTCAACAGAATCCGACACTGTTTTGTTTGGCATTACATAAGAGGAAAAGGGAAAATATTTTTTGTTTCCCCTTTCATGCTAAAGACCTGCACAGATGGACTGAAAATCATACATTTCTGCGCATCCAAGGTTACAGTACACAAAACTGTAGTTTTTAATGATAAGAAATCTATGCTAATACATTTTTGCAAAGCAAACATGAACTGAAATACAGTGAAAATAATTTCAACAAGTGGTATGTTACCTGGGTGGAGCTGGCGGCTACCGAGATGCAGTCAATAAAGCTGTGTCTCCGAGTGAAAAATGCAACTATCTGCTGCCAGCGCGAAGGTTCTGGCTCAGCCTGCAGTTCATCTGATGAGCCCTTTTTCGCCCAGTGTTTCTGCTTTGGGCCTCCTGAGCCATGGCTACAGCTAGTATTGCCTCCTCGACTGGCGCGAGAGTACAGAAGTGTGTTGTTCCCGAAAATGTAATTCATCTCTGCAGCCCTGCAGGTGGTTGCCAAGCAGTCCTACTTCTCTACCAGCTGCTGAGTGGTGAATGACCGGTAAAAACTGCAGCTAGAATTACAGCCGCATCACTTGTAGATCAGGGAAAATAAAAACCTTGAGAAATGATGCTCATTTTCTCTGCAATTTCTTCCCATGAAAGAGCTTGTATCTTCCCTCTGTACCTGTTAGCTGTATGATGTCTGAGTTTATACGTGCAGACAAAAAAGACAGCATAAGGTGGATTTCTTTCTCATGATTATTTTTTCACCAGCATCTGCAGGAACCAAAAGCTGTTCTTTTGTTAGCTGATAACTAGACGGACTGAAATCCAGGAAGTGAGGTCGATTAGCAGGTAAAGAAGGATGTTATAAACACTGGACTACCAAGACCCTTTGGGGCTGCCTGATTTAAGGTACTGGGTGGAGAAACCTGGATTATCAAGTTTCAATCACAGTCCGGAGTAAAATCCAATGGCATCTTCACTGCTTAAATAAATTTTAATATGAACTGAATTTAAAAACACGAGAGGATTGTCTCTGCCAATAGTTGATTGTTTAAAATAATTATTTTACTAAAGGAGCTTTGTCATGCATACATGAATTTCTATATCAGGAAGGAGTTTACATTAATTAGCACTGGTTCTAAGTTTTTTAAAGGTACTATTCTACATTAAACTCTGAGGACATATCTAATGATAGAAGGAAATCTGTTTGTAATGTAGCATGATCATTTTACATAATATATTGGTTTTTAATGCTCTGATAATTGAGTCTAGAGACAGAAACAAATTAATTAACAAAATAAATATTTGGCTCCTGGAACTTTTGTAATATGAAAGAACTGTTAAATTATCATCAGCAGCATCTCTCATATATTATAAACATTAAGATTACAAAGTTATGATTTGCAAAAATGTAAAGAATTAAAGGTAAATTTTTTTGCTTTATTACCAGTGAAACACGTTTTATCCAACACTACATAAATAATACTCTGGTTCACAAAATCAGAATGCTTGATTGTTAAATAGATATTTTCTAACATCTAATATCTAGATCTGTGTTTCTCAACACAGTAGGCCACCCCAGAATCATCCATGGTGCTGGTTAAAAAAGCACACGGGCACCACTCTGCTATCAGAATTTTTAGAGGTAGGGGGATCTGGGAATTTTCATTTTTAAAAAGACTCCTAGGTGACCCTTAAGCATCCTCAAGTTTGAGAACCACAGACTCCTAAGACTGTCCTCTTAATGCTACATTAGTATATAATAACCTATATAGACATTTAAAAACAATATATGAGTAAAATGCTATTTGATAATTTGCCAATGGTTGACTAATTCAATTTTTAACTAGATATAAGCATATCACAAGCCCCAACATCAGCCACAGACATTTTTTTCAGATGTGAACTGACAAAATCTTGCTTACTACGTGCTTACCAGCACCAACAAAATGCGGCCTACTGGAAAGTAGCATTGGCACACTACAACCTCCAGGTCCACTATAAATCCTGATTCAGCAAGAAAAGATGCTAATGCTGTCTCTATGATTCTATCCCTAAGATACAGACACATGCCCAAAACAAGGGTTGAGAGTCCAGTGGGACCCTCTGGAGTAAGATGCTTTGTGGCAGAGATTACAGCAAGAAGTTTAGTGCTTTTTCCCAAGGACTGTGGAGACAGTGGCTGGCAATTTTGAGGCCCTAGACAGATTGGTCCTATCCACTTGGGGTAGGGGAGTAGAGGAAAACACTAAGAGTAGAGAGAGAACTAAGAATCCTCTCTCAAGGAAAAAGAAGAAATTTCCTGAAAAAAAATAAGTTTTACCATAGACCAGGTACTTAACAAAGAAGTAATTAGTGTAGTTTATACAAATGCTGTAGTAACTGGTTTGGCTTCAAAATATGTGCCTTGATCCATATCTGACAAAAAACTGGGGTGGGGGGCAACCTAGAATTGATATGGACTCTGTTATTCTGGATTGGTATGGATGAGGATACTGAACATCAATTTTTTATTCAAGTTGCAAATGATACCAACACAGACAGAATAGTAAGCCTCTAGTGTACATAAATTTCTTATCCTAGAGAGCCAAAGAGCTCGAGAACAACCTCAAGTTGACAGATCACCCCATCCCACATATCTCCTGTGTACAGGGAAGAAATAGTTCTCAGTGTATAGATTTATTATTCAAATCCACCGACACCAAGAAAGCAACTTTCAGTTTTAAGAAAGGTTTCTTTATGAAAATGTCCTGTTACCTGAGGTACAAAAATCTAGGATCATCTCATCCTTTGCCCAGGAGTCAATACATGCATAAAAATCATGTAAGTGGCTAAATCACAACTGGTTTCCCACGATTTGATGGGGGGTGAAGGCAACCAACTCCTCACTAATCTCTGCTTTAGAACAGCCCCACTCATGCAGCAGAGCTGAAAGATAAACTCTACTCCATTCAGACACAACGCAAGTTCATTAGAGAACCTGGGAAGTCCATTTAAAATAATGAATTAAAAGAATAATACACATGTCTAAATAATCAAAGATAATCACTATTAACATTTTAATACGATATATAAAGAATTAACATTCTTTTTTCTGTACAGTCTTTCTCTTTTATAGAATGATAATATTACCTATAGTAGAACTCCAAACAATAGACAAAAGCTTAAGTGAATGAAGTATATCCATTTGGTGAATTATGTAACCTAAAATATGATTATGAAAAATCTATGACTGTGAGAAATGTTTAATTTATAACATTAAATGGAAGTAAAGACAGTTCAAAATTTACACAGGCTAGGACCTCAATTATTTGTACACCTTTCCAAACTCCCAGATAAACCCAGAAGTCTTCACGTAGAGTAACAAAGGCAAAGATTAAATAATCTTAGTGAAAAACTTTAAAAGGTTGAAGCATGAGAGGAAAAATAATACTGAAACTCTAAAATACTAAAAAATTAATTAACTACAAAGCTAATGTACTGTAAATGCAACACAACAGGCATTTTCCTTACCCTTTTGTTTTTATAATCTAGCATATTAGATTTCAAAATATACAACTGCACTAAGGGCAAGACTGAACTAGAAGATTGATAACACAGATTTGTTATTTATCTGGAAAAACTCTGATCACACGTACTGTGTACAAATCCCTTCTGTATGAGCACCATCTAGCGGTCAAACTGTATGAAACTATACGCTCACCTTAGTACACCAGGGTTATCCAAAAAAGGTAAGATAAAATTCAGTAATATTTTAATATGTTCCAGACATGTGAAAACAAAGTTAATTTCGAAAAGGGCCCATTATGTACTCAAAATGGGAAAGATTCTATTCCTACAGCCTTAGTTCAATAGGTATATATTTGCTTACGCACATTCTTCTGCTACCCCCATTTCTCACAATATTTGAAAAATTACCTACTGCTGATGCCAATTTCATTTGATAGTATTCTCAGTACTACTGGATCAAATGTGTCCAGGCTAGGAGACATATTCATTCAAAATAATTACCTCCTCACATACCCTGTTCTACGTCTATTTCAAGTTCCTCTTAACTGTTTACTTTGTACATATTAGTTTGAACATAATTTTCCTTGTCATTGAAGACAAAAGCAAACTATGAATTCTTTTGTTTCCTCAATGATCACTGCAACATCCTATACTAAGCAATGCACCTTTTGCCCTCCTTGTCATTTCACCCACATTTAAATCTATTTTGAAAGAGTCCGGGGTTTTGTTCATTTAAATTGGTTCAATTTACTGTTCTGACCATTTTTCCTAATTTCCAGTTCATTTTCAGTTTTAGGAATCCTGACACTGTTCTTATTACTATCATACCACTATATTCATAACTGTTTAAAATCTAAGCTTACTTTAAAGATTCTTATGTACCTCAAGAATTTACCGACTGTGTCCCTTTCTTCCACATCAAGATTTTTCACCACTATATCTCCAATTTCTTTCTGGAAACTGTCCAGCACAAGCAAGAAAGTTTCCCTTTCAGTCTTAGATCTTAATTACCTTTAGGCTAAGGCCTGAATAAAGTACCTTTAAATCACTGTCTTATTTCACTTATTATTTCAGTAACAAGAATCAGCACCAGTACCATGAGAAACTGACAGATTATTTCACAGCACGTTTCAGGGTGTCAAACCCTCCATAGGGTCAACTCGTCAACTCAGGATTGAGGTCCTTCACACATTGCCCTCATTTCCTAACAAGTACCTTAAGCACGAGCTACAATATCATGAACTTTCCTGTATTTTTAGTTTCCTGTGATTATCATCCTCCTACTGTACTTATTTTCCCCAGTAACTACCTCTTCCGCTGAAATGGAATCTTGTACACATCATTCAACACCTCCAAATGTCAACTTCCTTCTTTTCACAATACTCCAAGAATTTAATTTCTCCTTTTACTTTTCATGTTATATCACATTGTTATAACTACCTCTTTATAAAAAAAATACTAATCACTGAAGTCTAGTAAAGTTACTAGCATAGCATAGATGTTTAATAAATGTTTGCTAAATGCCTCTATTGTTTGATAGACAAAACATTCTAGCAGTTGATTTTTAAAGTGAGCACCTATAAATTAATCTTATTTTTCACTATTAGCTTTTATAATAATTGTGCAGAATAAAGCAGTGCCTAATTTACATTCTACTCAGCAAATCACCACTACTCAAAGATAATTTTTCAAATTACAAAAATAATTCATATATTGAGTTCTATGGATAAGAGTTTCTTGCTTGCTTCATTCACAATACTATAAAAGTAGAAAAGCTCCCTATATTTTCTTTTGTTTAAAAAAAAGGGGCTACTAATCTGATAACTGAGAGCATATTTTAAATAAAATATACTTAATTGTTAAGCTTCCTAAAACATTTGTCCTAGTTTAAAAAAATTTTTAAAAACATTAACACTTGCCTTCTTATATCAAAACAAGGCTATTTTTTTTTCAAATTTAATTTCAACAGGAAGTTAAAGGAACCCTAACCATTATGCTATTACTCTACTCACTCCTAATCTATTTCACTTCTCAAATAATTATTTTATGAGGTGCCGGCCACAGTAATCTACACGTGAGATAGGAGAAGCAGCAAGAAATTCCCCAAACAGGGTAGCTTTAATAATTCTTAAAATTTTATCAGAATATAGTCTCTCAACAAGCACCAAGAACTTTTAACAAGTTCATATGCTTCTGATCCAATAATATGACTCGGGAAATTCATCCTAAGGAAATAACCCAAACACTTTTTATGCCCAAAGATTATTCACTGTAGCCTTCTTTACAAAACCTAGTAAGAATGGAAATAACAAATAGTAGACTAAAAGCGTTCATTAAATTATGGTACAAATATACTATACAATGTTATCCATTAGGTTTCTAGAAATTTAACATGGGAAAATACGTATAAACAACTTCATAAGAGGAAAAAACTCACATAAAAAAGTAAGATGTAAACTGTGATTCAGAAACAGATGAAAGAGAAGTTAGATAATTTCTTCTACTGGGAATGCAAATCCTTATGTCTCTCAGTCGCCAGATAAAAATCAGAGAGGTAGCCAGCCAAGGAGGGAAGGCAGAGAGGAGGGGACTCACCTGCTGCCCCTACGAGCATCAGAGGCTTGTTTGTAACTGCTTGAGAGACTGATGCTATTATTACCTAAGAAATGAAAATCAACTGAAAAAGAGCAAGAGAATGGCCTACAAGGATGGACAGGTTTTTAGATGCTTTTCAATGAGCAGTTGAACTATTAAATTATTAAATTTGACTTATCAGTTGAATTATTACCATATTACACTAAGATGCTTTGATGCTGGTAGTTTCCTGATTTTACCAAAGTGTGTCGACAAAGGTTTGCATAAACACTCAAAATTGCCACTTGACTAGAGCAATAGTAAAACATCAGCAACTGTCAGATATACATCAATGTCAGAAAAGATAAAATATGAAAAAGGTGTGTTTTTATAACTGATGATAAAGGATATTTTAATCTAATAACATACTCCTTTAAAGAAGTCTGTGTCAAATTTGCCTTTAAAAAGCTGTGGGGTACATAATCCTTTATTATGTAATAATTAACTGTATGCAAGGGACAAGCAACTGTACGCAAAGAATAAGAGCATTATTAAAGCAGATACCAAAAGAATTGGGCAAAATTTACTTCATTCTCTTATGGTGAGAAAATTAGGGGAAAAAATGAGTCAGATTAAGGAAGCAAGTGAGAATCTTAAAAAAGTAATAATGCTTTCTCTCTCAATAACAGAAATATTTAAGCCTCACTGCAGAATAAGGATTAAATAAAGAGATGATATCAGAAATTTACTTTAAAATACCTCAACACAGTGAAGAAGTATGTGGTATGTTGGTTCAATTAACCTAGGCTCTAGTGCAGTGCTTCTCAACTGTGGCTATACACTAGAAACACCTGGAGAGTTTATAAAAACCCCAAAGGCCACACTGTACCCCAGACCAATTAAATCAGAATCTCTGACGTGGTACTCAGACATCACTTTTTTTTTCTTTGGTGAGGAAGACTGGCCCTGAGCTAACATGTGCTGCCAATCTTCCTCTTTTTGCTTGAGGAAGACTGTCACTGAGCTAACCTCTGTGCCAGTCTTCCTCTATTTTGTATGTGGAATGCCACCACAGTATGGCTTAATAAGCAGCATGTAGGTCCATGCCTGGACCGAACCTGCAAACCTCAGGCTGCCGAAGCAGAGTGTGCAAACTTAACCACTACCCCACCGAGCCGGTCCCTCAGATATCAATTTTTAAGTCATGTTAGGTAATCCCAACGTCCAGCCACAGCTGAGAACCACTATTCTCTGAGTAGTTAGTTGTCCAAATTAGGTGTTCCCATTCCTAGACTGATCATCTAGCATTTACCTAGAAAAGTCAAATTTGGAGAATGCTGCTGTAAGACTTTGTTATATTAATATTTGATCAACACCAAAGGTTTTCCCAATTATCATAATGAATGAGATGGGCTTTCACTGGTGAAATTCATTGTATTCCAGTTATATGGACTGGCTAAACTAATTTAGAGACATTAATCCACCAATCCATAAGAGAAAGAGAAGATGCGAAAGAGACCTAAACTCTTAGGGATGGCACCTTACGTTCAACCCCTAGATGTCTGGAAATTGTGGATAACAAAATCTTTTCTCTACAATATTGTTTTACTTGCCTGGAGTGAGCATTTTATGCAACAACAGAGAACCGAGGCTTCACCATATTTAAAGAAGAGGCTATACAAAATACTTGATACATGCTGGCTCATTATTTAAATGTCTGCTTGTGTCAGAATCTACACACACAGAATTAACTATCGAAGGACTGAGGAATTGGGTGTATACAAATTGGCTTCGGATAATTTGTAACAATCAGAATGGCCAGAAATTCAAAACATCAGAAATAAAAGAATTATACATACCTGCGGGGGTATTTCAACTAAAGTAAGAAATAGGTTATGTTAATTCAGTCAAGAAAAAAACAGGCTTACTTTGACAAGAACAGCACATAAAGGAGGAA